AGGTGGCACAGTGGATAGAGCCCTGGCCCTGGAGTCAGGAAGACCTGAGTTCAAATCTGGCTTCAGACACAGAACACTCACTAGCTGTGTGACTGTGGGCAAATCACTTAACCTCAATTGTCTCACCAAAAACAAAACAAAACAAAACAAAACAAATATACACAGCCAATGGTGTAGAGCCTGGTTTCTTAAAGGGAAAAGACCCCTTAAGTGCAGGAAAGCTAAAATCGCACAGTTGGGAGTGGAAAAGATGGGTTTTTGAGCTCAGGCCTCAAGTCTCAAGAATCCAGTATGTGTTCCACTCAGCCATGCTGCTCTTCAAACTAGCCAGAGCTTTCTGACTTGCTTCTCTTTTCACTAGAATGTCCAATGTTTTCATTGATTTGACTTTCAAGGGGGCTTGAATTGCCAGGAGCACTCACTCAGCTTGACAGGCATGTCTCTTCTTAGTAAAATAAAACTGTCAGCATTCTAGCCTCCAAGTCAGTCTCTTGTGAATGTGGGACAGGGCAGGGCAGGGCAGTGAGGATCCTCTGCCAGATGATCTGAGTTTGAACTCACCTCTGATACTTACTACCTTCTTGACCTTGAACAATTCACTTCTGTTTCCTCCTCCATAAAATGAGAAGATTGAGCTCGTGACCTCTGAACTCCCTCCCAGCTCTAGCTCTAGAATCTTAAGATGGTCCCACCCAGCCTCATCCAAGACAAACCGATGAAAACTGTTGTTTTGAGTTTGCTGACCCAAGGTAGTAGTAGTAGGACAAGCCCAGAGCCCAAGTTAAAGCAAATTCTTTGAGCTGCATTGTTATAGATCTTTTTGTGGGAGGGGATGTTCTCTCCCCCTGAAGATGTCATGGCAGGCCCGGCCTCTTTCTTTTAAAAAATATTTAAAAAATAAATTTCTGCAAGTATTTACCTTTCTTGAAATGAACCCTAGGAAATCTATCCATAAAAGAAATCGAAGTGTCCCCTAGATACCTTATACTGCGTCAACCTGACAAGACAATGAAAATTTATTTCCTCAAGGGTGGAAAAAAAACAACCCATCGGGGAAAACCCCTGCAGTTCTTGTAAAGATGGCTGGTTATTCCACCTGAGCTGATAAAGTGTTGTTCCAAGGAGGAGCACTGATTCACTCATTCACGTGATTCATATATGATTCACTCATTGCATTCCTAAAAGACTGTTGGGAAGACTTGCATTTTTAAACCCAGATCCCCAACCCAGAAGCAGCCAGTCACTATTCTGGCCAGGCACTAGATCCTGAAGTCCCTTCACAGAAACCAAGTGGCCTCCCTTGCTCCTCTGCCTAGAGAGAAACTGCAGACCATCCATATCCAATGGGGAACTGGGTGGTTAACCACTGGTTCTCAGCTGTGGTTCTGGTAAGTGGCACTGTTGTAATTTCATTAGAAAGACTAACAGGGTAGAGGGGGCCATGCACTTGGAAGTGTTTGATACGCTCTTGGTGGGGGAAAGATTTGTGGTCCATTCCTGGACTTTCCTGGTGTTCTTTGTGAAGAGAAAGATGTACATTAGTATGGCCAAATCTGGGAGTGGCCAGAGGGGCAGAGGCAAATACCAGACAAACATCAGTGAAGCCAAATCCGGAATACTTGGGTTTCAGATCTGTTTCTTCTCATATCATTCCCTTTCCCCTCTCTTTCTTCTTAATCACCTCCAATAGAATATCTGCTCTTGGTCCTACTCATACTTCTCTCACCAAAGTCTCATCAAAAAAAGGATCTTAGACAATTCCTTTTTTCTTTGTTATCTTTTTCTCAATTACTTGTGAGTAAAAATTTTTAACATTCATTTTTTAAAATTTTGAGTTCTAAATTCTCTTCCTCCCTCCCTTTCCCCACCGTGAGAAGGCAAGCAATTTGATATAGATTAAACATGTGCGATGATATAAAACATTTCCATAGTAGCCATGTTGCAAAAGAAAACACAGACAAAAAAAACCCAAACACCAAGAATCATAAAGAAAGTGGGAAAATAGTATGCTTCAGTCTGCACTCAGACTC